ACAGAGCAGGAGGATGTTATGCCTCATCAGGTCAGACCTCACTGGAAAAACATCAGCACCCATAATTGGAGTTTATAATTTGGGTCTAACTTTGATCCCTTCCCCTTACAGGTTCAAAGGTCAAAGTCATTTGATCATGCACAGATTGAAAAAATGTTGGATACAGATCCCAGTAATGTGATTGGAGATTTCACCAAGGTGATTAGTGCTTTTAAATAAAAACAAAAAACATATGTAATATAATATAGCATAATGATAAAACCAAACACAATTTTAAAGCATTCATTTGTCTTTTTGAAGGCTCCTGCTCTACCCACAGTAGAAGGAAAACACCAAGAGTTGAAATACATCACTCCAGATATTGTAAGTTTGCACAAATTAACATTAAGCATGCACATTTCAAATGCAAGAGCATGCAAAACGAGCAGTTGCATGAGTTGCTTGTTGTCTATACAAAGTATGTGCACTGGCACCTTTCCTTGTTTTCTAACATCTGTTTCTGTATTATCAGATGGTTAAAGCAATAAACGGGCAGTACAGCGATCTGGTGGAGAGGCTGTTTGTCATCGACTGCCGCTATCCTTATGAGTATGAGGGCGGCCATATTACGGTTAGGATTTCATTAACCCTGATGCAGTTGCATGTCGTATTTGTGTGAGGCAAATTTGGCTGACTCCACTTTGTCCTCCTTTCAGGGTGCCCTTAACCTCCATCAAGAGGATCAAATTGAAGACTACTTTTTAAAGAATCCTATTCTCCCAGAATGTCCCGCCAAGCGTGTCCTGCTGGTTTTCCACTGTGAATTTTCATCTGAACGTGGCCCACGGATGTGCCGTCACGTTCGACAGAGAGATCGAGATTTGAATGAGTACCCCAACCTCCATTACCCTGAACTCTATATCCTGAAGGGAGGCTACAAAGACTTTTTCCCGCTTCATAAGGTATGCGTGTTTTCACAATGCAATGTCCTACTTGGTCCCCCGCCACCCTCCTCTCTTTCCAAGTTTATAAAGTATGCGTTTTTTTCTGCAGTCGGTCTGTGAACCTGAGGCTTATAGGCCGATGCATCATGAAGACTTTAAAGAAGACCTGAGGAAGTTCCGCCTTAAGAGCCGCACCTGGGCTGGAGAACGCAGCAAGAGAGACATGTACAGCCGTCTCAAAAATCTTTGAGACTCGTGCTCACAATTCCTCATCATTTTACTGCCTTTACTTGCTCATATGCTGCCCTCACACATGAGACATGGCAGAAACCTGAAGACGTGTGTTTGATGGGAACAGTTGTTGGTTTTCAGGGATTGGTATTTCTTTAGTATCACAACGTCAAATGAGGTTGAGAGGCTATTATGCATATCTGCACATTTGGTTTGATCTTATCACTTTTAAACTGCCTGTTTTCACCACCCTGATCTCCCTTTAGAAACACACAGCTACATGTCACTGTCATGTATTACACATACACGTTTGAACTAACCTGTATTTTTACCCCCCCCCACCCCTTTTTTGTCCACTGGCCTGTCCTAACTTGTATGTCAGATTAATTAATGACTATTTTAACTTGCTTTTTTTCTCCCTCCCCTAGAGCACTTTTTTTCCCCTTTTTAATTGTTGTGGTCATTTATGCATTCATTTTGCCCCCTCTTCCCCTCGCAGGAGAACTAAGTATTACATTTGTTGTATAAATTGGTTTAAGTATTCTGAATGTCACAATTATGCAAATTCTCATCACAAAATAATGATTTTAATTTTTACCCATATATTTTGAGAAATGTGTAAAGCATTCTGTTGATGATGACCATATTGCTTTGATTGTCCTGGTTAGAGTTTTTGGAAATTGTGAACATTCAATTGGTTTTGGGGGGAGCTAGCAATAATTATTTTTTTTTCACCCTCACTTGGCCAACAGCTTTAAATCAGGGACAGGATCCTGAATTTTGCTGCTGGTCTGCAAGTGATGACAACGTCAAAGTTCACCCAAAAAGTTCTGAAATGGGATTTTAGTTCTATTTGTTTGTAAACCAGTGACAGTTGAGAGTTACAATTCTCACTCCCATGCAAGTGTGTTTTGTAAATTTGATATCTTCCTGAGTGTATGTTTTATTGGTCATGTGACTGAGAGGCTGGTTTTTGTATTCATGAATAAACTTGGAGTTTGGGGTAATAGCTCTTTGCTGAATCATGCCTTGATCTCTTGCATCTGGGTGCTGTTATTCACTGGCCTAAGGGGTTGAGTCACTTGTTTTTTTCAAATATACAGGTCTAGCAGAGACCTTGAATGTGGTTAGTCAAGCACCAGCACGTGTCCCTGCACACATTTGCATTCCAAATCTCTTCCACAGGGGAGGAGCCAGCAGTTTCCCAGCCTTTCCCTAACACACTGGCACGGTGTCAGACCAGTTCCTGCACGCTTTCTGTTCGGTTAATGCGTAAAAATGTTTCTGGGCACTCTTTGAGTATGAGCAAACAAGAAATGAAACTTTAAAAAGATAGACATGTTTACCACAGCTTTTACATGTGTATGGGAGAAACTAAAGAGGTTTCAAACTATTGGTTTTAAGCCAGACATTTAGATATTCTGCATGCAGCTTGATTCCCACCAGACTAAATCAAATGTAGATCCTTGTGAAGAAACGTTGAAAAATAAAGCAGTAACTTGAAATGCAGACCCTACATCTGTTAAAATGTGTTGTAAATCTTTATATTTACTTCATACTTACTATTTTAATTCATAACATGTCTTCTGTTAGACTTCGTGGAAAGAAGACATCCAAAAATACATGCCACATTTATCACATATCTTTTCAGGCACTTTTTTCAAAATGAGTTTCCATTTTGAGAAAATATAATGAAGTCTCCACTTCAGTAATACTTACGTTGTAGTTTTATTCCTATCTACATTCTGAAGGTTTTTACAGAGGAGTTTGTTATGTCATGAACCTGATTTACACCTTTTTCCTTGGCTGTTGACAGTATTTTCTGATTTATGGAGTGATAAAAAGAGCTATGTAAAATCCCCTGTGTAATAACATTTAATATGTCAACAAAATGAGGCAAGAATGTTGAACCTAGCTTTATCCAATGCTTAGATTTCTTTTCTGGAAGTTTATGCAAATTTGTGCATATTTAAAAAGATACTGCCTCCTTCATGTATTTAATAATCACTTTTCAAAAAACTTGTAATAGAAAACATTTGTCTTAAGGTACGGTAATGAATCAACCAGGGAAAGTTATAGTGATACTATAAAGATTTTTACCCTGATCACCTGCGGTGCCTTGCCTAAAAGGGATAGTTCACATTCAGTTACTGGTCCCCATTGACTTCCATAGTATGGAAAAAAAGAAAAGAAAAGAAAAAAACACTATGCAAGTCAATGGGGACCAGCAACTTAATGTGAACAATCCCTTTAAGTTACAACAGCAACACTTTGCTAAGGTTCTTTACGATTTTGTAAATACTATTTACATTTTACATTTAAAGTCTGCACACTGTGTAATGCTTATATTATTCAAATTGCCTTAAAATAATTTATTCAGTATGTTTTGTGTGCTGGAATCAATGTCTAATCTTTTCCTTTTAAGTCTGAAGGCTGAAACTTCAGGTTTTGTTTCCCCCTTTGGATATTTATTACATGTGGTTTTAATTCAACCACAGAGAGCCGGTAAAAAGTTGAATTTGAGTAAGAGGATCTTACGCATTCTGAGTTTCCATTGTCTTTGTGTTTCTGCTTTGTTAGTCTAACCTCTGAATCTAAAAATGACCAGAATCAGCTGTAAAGACTGGAGTATTGCCATCATTGTAACCACATCCTATTGCTTTTGCAACATCAAGATCTTCTGAATGTGGCCTAGGCTTTAGTTTCTGCCCACTGTCTTCCTGTATCTTCAGTAAAACCTTTTATTTCATTGTCAGCTATGGAGAGGCTATCAGTTTTGTCTCAGTGCTCCTTTCTTCTAGGAACATGAATTATTCTTTTGTCATCTCACAGTTTGTGTTGTGTGCTGGATATCAAACTGACTGAATGTGATGTGTTTATGTAAGTTGAATGTAGCAGGAAGTGGGGGAGATGTGTGTGTCCTTCTCCCTCATAGGTTAAGTGAGCATGACCAGCAGTTGTTAAGCAAAACAACTGTCCTTTGTGTGTGTCAGAGCGCACGTGTTTGAATACGTCCAACTTAGTCTTCAGTCAATGGCACTTTGTACCTTGTCTGCGTATAAACATGCTCCTTTGTTTAACATGTACGCACTGGAGAATCTGTTCAAAGACGTTTTTCTTTTTTACCTTTTTTCTGTCACTATGGTTAAAATTTTCATACCTCACAGGATCATAGATCAGACTGAAGAATGTATATAATCTAATTTGTTACTGTAAGTTAGTATATTATGAAATTAATTCTGGAGAAGTTTTGAGAAAACTTGGTGGTGGCATAAGAACAGTATAAAGCACATTTAAAAATAAGCTATCTTTAATTTTTCCAAAACATAAAAGGTTGTTTTGTTCTACATTTCACATGCAACCATGAGATAACACCCCCCCCTCATCTAAAAAAAATAAAAATAAATAAATAAATAAATAAAATAAATATTACAAATAAAAATTGTGACACCCAAGCAATAACACTGGTAAGACCCTTCAGGGTGGGAAGACAGGTAAATAATCTAATTTGTAATACTGACAGCACAGCTAAACCATTTAACTCTTTTACCTGTTATGAATTTTTTATTTTAGAAACTGAATCGATTTTGTATGTTAATGAATGTTTATTGCTATTGCATATTAAAATAATTAAAATCAACGTTTTAAATTGTAGGCTATTTATGTGCCAAATATCACAGAAAATTAAATCAAACAGAATTAAAAAACAGAAATAAACTGGTTAATAAATTGGTTAAAATTTTCACTGGTGTTAAATAGATTTAATACTGTGTTGCGTCCTAAGAATCAGTCATCCAAGAGCGCTATCTAGAGTTAAAAAATGAAACTGCGCAAAATTGATCAGCTGATTCACAGTCATGTGACCAAATACGGAAATAACCATGCAGTGTGAGTCAACAATGGCATCGTGATTTTCTGACACAATTATTTTACAAAGTTTATTTTATTGCGGGCACCTCGCGTCCGTGTTACAGCACATCTGATAATTGTGCGTGCTTTCTTCTGGTGTTTATGATATGTCAAATCAGACATGGTGGTTTGTTTCTTAATCCACACGCTGTGCCCGGTGAGCGCGCTGTCCGCAGGCGAGACTCGGATACTGTACGCGCGAGTGTTCGGACCGGAGACCGGAGATGGTTGTGACTTCACACCGGAGCAGAGACGACTGATGCAGAAAGAGAAACTTCACGTGGTAGCGAGGTGAGATGAATTCACAATTGTAAACCGTTTCCGCAAATTACTTATAATCAAGCCTACAACTGTAAAATAGTACATTAACTAATATTCATTCAGATGTCCCACTATGATTATAGTGATCATCAGCATCTTGTTGTTTTGATGACTGACTTTCTGTGGAACATAAGAGAAGATATTTTGAAGAATGTTGGTAACCAAACCGTTTTGGTTACGATTGACTTGTAGTATTGTATGCACAAAAACATTTCTCAACATATTTTATGTTCCACAGAAGAAGAAAAAAAGTCATATAGGTTTGGAACAACATGAGGGTGAGTAAATGATGACAGAATATTCATTTTTGGGTGAACTATCCAACTAATACCAAATATCTGTATTAGCAATAACTGCATTAGGTATTTTGTCAGAAGCTATGGTTACTGGTGCATTTTTGTATGTGTACCCATGGGGAAACAATACTCTCCTTTTTTCTGCCTTTTTTCTTTCTGTCAGGCAGGTCAGGAGTGCTGTGGCTCTGAGTAGGGAGGCCTCAGGCGGTTTGTGTGTGGAGGCAGTGCTGGGTGAGGAGGCTGCAGCTCTGGGTGAAGCTGACAGCGGTGTGTTTTCCCTGGGCAATGCAGAGCTCTTTCCAGATCGGAGTGTTGTTCTGTGGCTGGGGGTTCAGTCTCTAGCGTTCACTCTGGTCTGCAGACCACACGAGAACCTCCTGCTCGCAGAGGGAACGCTTCGCAACATTGCACGTCACTGCCTGGAGGAGCTACGTCTGCTGGGACCTGGTGCTGAGGTGAGGTTTTTCTGGGACTAATGATTATTTTATTAGGGGTGCTCAATTACAATTGCTCATACGTAGGGTTCAAGACCTAATGAAAATAAACTTAAAATGATTGAAAATTAGTAAAACTAACAATAACAAATCCAGCATGTTTTGTGCTACAGCCATGAGCAATAATTAATTAGTGTGGCTTGTTGAGGAGAGGTGTGTTATAACTGCCACTGCTGCTTGCTGGAAATTGCCAGGCCTCATTGAAAAGGAATGATGTTCTATTGGTTTGCCACTAATTACGTCTCTGTAATAATTTCTTTACCAATGACTTAATGGGAAACATATTCACCTTAGTAATCATTTTGATGTTAATCTCTGAAACTCATGTTACTCTCTTATAAAACTTATAAAAATACTATAATAATGTAACATCCAATATTTTTTTTCACACAGTAGTTCTTGTAGTATCTTGTCTGTGTGAATGCATGTACATGTGCGTATGTGTTGCATGTATGTTTGCATGTTAAGCTGTTTATTGTGTGTGCATATGGGTGTAAAATACAGCACCAAAATTTAAATGTATCCAATAAATGGAGCATGTACACTATCCTGTTATTAAAATGATTTAAAATGCAAAATAACTTTTTTCTATTTAAATATATATGTAATATGTAATTTATTCCTGTGACGCAAAGCTGAATTTTCAGCATCATTACTTCAGTCTTCGGTGTCACATGATCCTTCAGAAATCATTCTAATATGCAAATTTGCTGCTAAGGAAACATTTCTTATTACTAACGATGTTGAAAACAGTTGTGTTGCTTAATATTTTTGTTGAAACCATGACACATTTTTTGGGGATTGTTGATGAATTGAAAGTACAAAAGAACATCATTTATTTGGAAAAAAAAATCTTACTGACCTCAAACACTACATGTTAGTGTAAAGCAGTTATTATTATCGTGTGTTTGCGTGACTGTTATTTGAATGTATTTAAGTTGTTTGGTGTTTTCATTGTATCTTTGTGTCGTTTCATGCAGCCGTGAGTATGAAAATGATTGTATTGCTTTTATTGTTACAGCTGAATTGAACTTGTGTTGAACTCCCGCAATCTTATAAAGAGTTTTTCTTATGTCTGCTGGCCTAGTTTCTTCCCCCCAATAAGACTAGCAGTGGGTACAACTGAAATTATAATATACATCTCATTCTGTGTGAGATACACGATAAACTGTTGATTACATTGTGATCAATACGTTCACCCAGAAAAGCAATCCAATGAGCTCAGGGGTATTTTCTGCAGAAATTTACAAAAAAATGATATTCTTTCCAATTACTATATGACTAGGGCTAGAGTTGTTGTCAGACAGTGAACAAGGACACGCATTTAAAGTAAATAGGCAGATTTCCAAGCTATTGATTATTTGACGCTATACCCTTTTTCTCTCATGCTGACTTAGCTGTTATTTTCAGGTCTTGCTGAAAAGTGATCGAGTGGACGCATTGTTGCACAGACTGCTTCCCCATGGTCAGCTCCTCTTCCTCAACCACCGTTTTGTCCTCACTCTGGATAAAGAGATAGCGAACTACGTGAGCAAATGAAATGGTGTGTGTATTGGTAAATGTTTGCCACATATTTAGAGAGTAATATATAAACTGCCTGATAAATCCAGGATGTTCTGATTTTGGAGATTTGGAGGAACTGCTTCTCCTCTGAAGGTGTAATGCACACTGCCACGGCTCAAAGGAGGTGTTTAAAAAGTAGAAGATTGCACAAACAAAGTGTATTGTTAACTAGTTTTTTCCTTTGAGGAAACCAGAAGGCACATGTTCTAAAACTTTAATTGCAGTTTGACATCAGATTAGATGAAAAACGACACCAAAAAAAGAAGCACAGCTCGTGATATCTCGGTGAGAGATTCTTTAGAGCTTATTAAAGTAAAGCTCTTTACACATTTGATCTCTCAGGCAGAGTGACTTTGGAGTACCTGATTAACTGGCCATAAATGGTCATTTGATAACATTGTTCATTGAGTTCTTGTTAATTAAAGTCTGAATCTATATGATTGTAACTGTCTGGCTGGGTCAAAAATAAAACCATTGCAGTAAATATATATCTGGCTCTCCTCTAGAGGGCAGTGTTGCATTTTTAAAATTGCTATATGTTTTGCTTCAGTCAAGTGCATGGCAATTTGAATAATCCTTTGACACTTTCATCTAAAATAATTCAATAGTTCACAGCAGTGTGTCTGCCAACAGATCTGAGATGGCTGATTGACAAGGCCGTATGACGCCTTCATATCTAGGCCAATGGAGCAATCACGCAATTCCAGAAAATCCGTTTTGAGCCCCTCTTTCCACTGATTTAATAATGACGAGTTACCTCTGTCATCGTGCTGCGGTGGGAATGAAGGGAGGGTGAGGATGTTCACTTATAGTAATTGTGAGGCCAGTCATAACTCTCAAGTACTGCGGTTCAATATGTTGACCGGTGAGTGTGAGGTTTTTCTGGCTTCCTTGTGTCAGCTGCCTTACAGACTATGTGATGGTTGGCATTCCTCTGGCATCGAGCATGACAAGAGCCCTATTATGGCCAAATGCTCTATAGCTGTGAAGTGTTGTTTAGACAACTTGCATTGAAAGGACCTATGGCACATTAACATGCCATCACAATAGCATTTGAACTGAAGTAGTCTGCGGTCACAGATAACTCAAATCTCTCACATTTCTGAGGATGTTATAAAAATTTTCAGGTTTTAAAACATTTGCAGGTGTCAGCTTTCAAGGGGTCTATATATTTGTATTTTTTAAACCAGTTTTTCTTAAAGTCCACTTAAAATGATAAACAGTAGTTTTTCATAACCAATTTGAGTTTTTTTTGCTGCTATGCCTTTAAGATATCCGTGTAAACACTGCCGTCATATGTGAAAACAGCTTTTTGCTGCACTCACACGAGTTGTAATTGTGCTGTTGCAAAATGTGCTGCACAATATGTTAAGATTTGGGACCTTATTAAAAATGAACTTTACCACTTTTTCCTTATGTTAAGATGCTTTTGAAGCATTTGCAGAGCAGTAGGTGCTACACGCTGCCATTATCAGCATAAAGTAGGTTTTTATGATGTTAGGAACATCAATTAAACATTGAATTATGTGGGCAGTCATTTGTTAATGAGTTTTGGTTTTCTAACATCAGGAATCCAAGGATTTTGGAACAAGCCTGTCAGGATTATGGACCTGTTGTGTTGTGTTTTCCCTCCTCATGTGCTTCCCCTGACCTATTTTCTCCCATGTTTCATGCCCTTATTTGGTCCTTCCTGTTCGTATTGGTTCCCATTTGATTCAGCTGTGTTTCCCCAATTATCTCATTTGGTTCTTAGTATTTAAGCCCCGTGTTTGCCTGTGTTCCCTGTTCGGTATTGTTAATGTCTTCTTGGATGAGATCGTCTCATGCTACTTGTGCTCCTGTCTGCCCTATATACCCCGTGTTTGCTGGATTAAAGACTGTGTTTATGGTGAATTCTCCTGCGTCTCCGCCTCTAGTTTGCTCCTCGCTCCCTCAGAGTAGCTGATCGTGACAAAGCCATTGTTTACAGTTCAGTTTCAGTAGATTGTCTTTTTGACTTGGGAAGGAAGTTTTGTTTTTAAGTTATTCTATATTTTTAGAGTGTATATTCATTCAAGAAGATATTGTGACCACAAATTAAGCCTTAACTGTATTAATTTGTTCTCATTTTAAAAAGAAGGACCAATTCAATGATATGTAGCCACAAATTAATATGACTAGTAGTAATAATAGCCGAACAGCAGTAAGCAGTAATAAATAATAGACACACGAATAATCCTAATATACAGTTTTAAATTTTCTGAAGCATTGTTGAAATAAAATGCATCCTCTTGATCAGACTTTGATGTCTTGATTTTAAGTAGAATAAACATACAGAATATCATAGTGCTCACAAGTGTCACAACGGCAAGGGAACTGTAACATTAATTTACTTTGGACTAAAAAAAAAAACCCAGAGAGGGAGGTTTGACTCATGATTTCATAAGTCCCCCGCAATCCATTTAGATACAGATTCATTTATTTGAGAGACATTTGAGTCGCTCGGGAGATGAAGAAATTTACAATACAGATTATCTTTATAACTCTTTATATTCCTCTCACAAACATATTAGCTTTTTCTTTTCAAAACAGTAAATTCAAGTTGGAGACAATTTGTCCTTTGTAGTTACTCCTCTGTTATTCCAACTGCCTCAAACAACACAATAATATTTAGTGTGTCATTAATTCCAACTCATTCATCATTCATCACAAGAGGTTCAAAAAGCCTTGGTTTTAAATATATGCTTGCAAAACACAAATGCAATTATTACAGAAATCAGAGCGTTTCTTGGCACATTTGGATCCACTTCAGCTGTGAAATCTGTTATTCAGCTGTCTGATGATTCTGTCCCAAATTGGGGAATATTTTTTTCTCCCAGGTCTTGATGAAAGCCTCAAGTAATCATCTAAATTGTGCTTCAGTTTGTGCTGAGTCTCAGCTCTAAGCATAGTAGTGTTATTACTACTGTCACTCTTTTACCCCTTCATAATAAAATGTCTGTCATTTAACAGGCGTACATTTCCCTCTAGAACAACTTTTTAAAATTGAACCTTCATTATAAAACTTGCATAATCACAAATACCTAAAAAGGAAAATTTGCTGAAAATTTCCTCACCCTCAGACTATCCAAGATGTAGATGAGTTTGTTTCTTCATCTGAACAGATTTGGAGAAATGTATCATTACATCATTTTCTCACCAATGGATCCTCTGCAGTGAATGGGTGCCGTCAGAATGAGAGTGGAAACAGCACATAAAAACATCACAATAATCCACACTACTCCAGCCAATTACCGTCTTGTTAAGCAAAAAACTTTGTGTTTGTAAGAAACAAGTCCATCATTAAGACATTTTCAACTTCAAAATGCTGCTTCTGGCTAAAATATGAGTCCTCTATCCATATTATTGCTTTCTCCATTTTAAAAGTCTGAGTCAGGAGAGAAATATGACAGATCAAGCATCATTTAAAAGCAAAAACAGTTGTAATATGTTGGTGAATTGTGAGAGGACAACAGGGGATGGAATTTTTTTTAATGGAGGACGCGTTTTGGTTTATGGATTTGCATTGTAATTTGGTCAGAAGCAAATGTTTGAAGTTAATGCTTTAATGATGGATTTGGTTATTACGAATATGCAGATTTTCATTTGACAAGATGTTAATTGATGGACTGGAGTGGTGTGGATTATTGTGATGTTTTTTATCGGCTGTTTCAACTCTCATTCTGACGGCACCCATTCACAGCAGAGCATCCGTTGGAGAGCAAGCAACACAAAATTTCTCCAAATCTGTTCCGATGAAACTCATCTACATCTACATCCTGAAGGTGAGTACATTTTCATTAAATTTATATTCTTAATATTAGGGCTGCACGATAAACGCGTTAAATATCGCATGCGATTTATCGTGCAGCCCTACTTAATATTTTAATGTTCATTAATAATTCAGTGTCTGCTCATCTGATGACTCAATCTATAGATATAACAGCCAAACATATTAGAGTTATATATGGACAGAACTTATATCCTGGGCTATATGCACACCCAAAGTTATTCTGACTGAAATGCTGAAGACACAACCTGTGCCCATGAAACATAGTTTTCACATGAAATCCATGTGAAATCCCCAGTTTTGTCATTAGCTTTAGAGTTTTTAATGAGCACCGTGGTTCCAGGTTTCCTACTGTTTTTTTTCTTTTCTTGTATCAGTAAATGACTGATACATACTTCCCCCGCCATTTTCTACATCACAACTCCTACACACTTCCCCTGAAAGGTAGGATGTTTTTTTTCTTGATGTCTTTAGTTATTTAGAATAATGAAAGACAATATTCAGCATTCAAAAACAAAGCAAGTAATGCAGTCAGTGTGTGTTTGAGGTTCAGACTGTCAGTCTGGTTCCACAGCTGAACTTCAAACAAAATTAATTTGAATGATGTCTCATTTAGTCTCAAACTCCTGAAGACAGTGAGTGTCTTTGAATGTTTCCACTGACCAGTTTTATCAATGAAAGCAAATGAGGGAGGGCTTTAGGAAGACATTAGTGAAACATTTGTAGAGCAGTGAAAAAGGGGGTAGAAAAAAAATCGAATGAAATAAGTCTCAGCTGTCAGATCTTCCCACCTCCATTCCTGGTTTACTCTAGGAGTGGGATTCTGCTTTTTCTTTTCTTTTTTTTTTTACTGAACAGAAAGGTTTTCCTTTTAGAAGGAGGAAGAAGCGGAATCATTTATTCAACACTTTGAACAAAGATCTCTGCTCAGAAACACAATTTAATGTAAACAAACAGAGAGGGTCGGTGCCGTGGCATAGCAGCTGTGGTGCTCATTTGGGAAACATAAATTTGAGTGTGGCTCCTCGCCATCATTTTCTGCCCTTTCAACACTATTTCAACATTATTGTTAATAAAATATGACAATAATAAAATGTATACACCAGAAGAGCAACAAATTAACAACCAGAGAGGGAGCTGTTATGTTTAGGGATGCTCCGATCCGCCTTTTTTGCCTCCGATACCGATTCCGATACCTAGGGTTCGGTATTGGCCGATACTAGTCTTTTCTACGCCCGTGTTTTGTTCTCACAGACACCCGGTAGCAAGTAACAAAACAACATTAAACTCCGGCAAGAAGATAAAGTCCTTTTTGCTAAATCATAGACATGTATTTACAAATCAAGTATAATGGGAACACAGAATGATCTTGGAGAGAGCTTTACCGAGCTGACTGCTGTAAGTTAACCGAACGCGACCAGGGTTTAAAGGCTGAACGAATGACTGACAGCCACAGCGGAGAAAAGAGTTTGTGTGAACTTTAATGTAAGGACTTAAATATTCATATGTAGCTTACATTAAGCTATCGTATGGCTTCAGAAGTAACACAGAATAATTCGCACAATCGAGAAAAAAAAAAAATAAAATCTCGGATTTGGATCGGCTCTCTCTGACCGATACCCGATCCGAGAAAAATGGCACTATTGGAGCCGATACCCGATATGAATATCAGATCGGCGCATCCCTAGTTATGTTAATGTTTTATTTGAACAGTGAGAGGAGGTTTGTTAAACTCCTCTGTGCATTGAAATGTCTCAGCTGTAAATTGGTGTGATTATTCCGTTTGTCACAGTTGTGAAGGAATAGCTGAAGAGCCCATCCAAAATTTTCATTTCATATCTATCAATGTGACGCTCAAGTATGCAAGCATATGTTTCGAATTGAGGCCTTTGAGAGTAACTCTAGGATATTATTGATCTTCTTTTTCTTTCCCTACATCGACCTCATTTGAATTCTTGATGTAAGTGGAGGATTAAACACACCATTATTGTTTGATGCATCCTGCTTGACTCACTATTTTGTCACATTGCTGATTATACAACACCTTTACTTTTCTATAGATAATACGTAATTGCTAATTACATGGACTATATCTTTATATAAAAAACTTCTAGTTACATGAAACAAGAAAACTAGATTAGTGCTTAAAATAAATGAACGGCTAATTTATTTTTGACAAGTTGATTATGTAGCTATAATGCTAAGTGATGCAACCCAGTATTAATGAATGTGAAGACCTGTTTATTTGCATCCATACAGGCTCATATGAACACAATGTGCAACAACAACAAAAAAAACTGCTTAATTTGACTGAGCAGATAGACAGACTCAAATCAGTGTTTTTTATTTCCCATCACTGAGCATGCAGAAATCACAAGTTTGCTTGTCGCAGGCTCTGATTTGACTGACAATGCCGCTTGTGAGTTATTTGGGGAAAATTTGTGCAAAATTCATCCACAGCACAATGCAAGTAGATTGAGAAAGTGATTGAGTGAGTCTGGAATATCTGTTTTGTTGCACTTTTGGCTTTCTGAGCAAGCCTGCAGGCATTTTATGAGACACTTGTCCAGCCCAAAAGTGAAGTATTCGTCCAAACCCTCTTGATATATGTCATAAACCTTGGCCCAATAAATGCCACTCCATAACTCTCTCTCAAAACATCTCAATCATCATTTTGCCATTCCCTGAGACATGTACTTCTGCAGTTAGGACTGAACATCATCTCCTTGTCTGTAATTAAAATGTTGTTATGACACTAACATAACCAGTTTAACAATGACCTATTGGACTATAATACTTATAACAATGTAAAGATGTGTTTTGTTTCTTTTGGCTTGTGTGATTGTGGGATTTTGGTGTATGTAAATGTTTGAAAATGGGTATGAGTGTTTGTCAACTGCACATAGTTAAATTTTGATTAGTATTCTGTGTTTGGTGTTTAATAACTTCTATCAGACAGTACAATTACTGATCAGGAAGTACCGGAGGAAGTGCCTCTTGGTCTACACAGCAAAGACAGACACACACAGGTATGTTTCAGTTTCCATAAACTGGTGTATTTCCAAGAGGAAAATGTAGGGTGGGACATAATGTTATCCATTGAGTATTAAATTATAAAATATAATCTGGTTATAGTAATTTAGTAGTTATAGGTATAATTAATGTTAAAACACAATTAAACGTACTTGTAATTTTTGTTGAATTATTATAATTAAATGTCGTTTTATTGTTTAAAGGGATAGTTCACCCAAAAAAGAAAATTCAGATATTTACTCATCCTCAAGTTGTTCCAGACCTGTAAAATTTCAATTTCTTTTCTCTATTGAACATAAAAGAGTGTATATTGAAGAATGTGAGTAACCAAACAGTTGATGGTCCTATTGACTTCCAC